CCCCCCCCCCCCCCCTCTCTCTCTGTTTTTTCCTGCAGTCTCCCTTTTGTTAATTAGGAAGCTTTCCTTTTAGTGAATTCTGGTAGGAATTGTTTAGTTGAAAAACAGCGACATGGCCTTTTGGCTACATGCTAATATGTCATTGCATGTGACTCATCCAGTTGCCTCTTAAAAACTCATCTTAAATCAGCCATCTGCATATGCTCCCGCAGCCTTACTCTATTTCCCTCTTCTTTTACCTTAACACAGCCTTTTCTTACATCATAACACCACCACAAAATCTTTCCGTGTAATTGTAACTGTATATACATTTTTACTACATCTTCTATTCTTTACAAAAGCTTTTATTTGCCTCCAAAACTGGATAGAAAAATGAAAATGAAGCTCGTGTTCACCTCTGTTTGGGCTATGCTTTCGGGATTCAATCATTTGTATGGTTAAGTAGTAAAGCTGTGAATATTATTGTAGAAGGTGATGTGAAAGCCGAAAAGAGACATGTGAGTGGGTCTACAAGGTATCGAGGTCAGGCCAGCACTGAATATAGCAGCAGCTCTTTTTGTTCACATGCAACGTTCACGGGCCAATCATCTCTTTTCTTCTCCTTTTTTCTTTCCCTGCCATTAACTACAAACATTCAAAAGGCTCTGTTTTGCCTGGATTTGCTTCTCATATTATTTCCAATCTCTCAAAACAGGCAGGCAGGCAGTTCAATTCCCCAATCAATATTTCTAGGAAGCGCGAGTGCGCAAAGCATGTTAAACAAAAGAATGTCGAAATCATTAGAAGCCAAATTCCAATTCTAAATGTTAGGGGCATGCTAAATCAAAATTAGGAGAAAATTTGGATACGAAAGAGATTATTCTTTCTTTCATTTGGGAAACCTACAATATATAAAAATAAAGCGAGAGACTGTACAATATGTCTGTGACTGTTGAGGATCCCCTTCAATCAGTTATTGTTTATACCTAATCATATATTCATTTAGTTGAAAGGCCACCTTTGTACCGTATGAACACCCAGGAGAGGAGAAAAAACAGAAGACAAAGAAATTATTATTTGAAACGTCTTTTTGTGGGCGTGAACTTGCTTTGCAAGTGTTCATACCCCGTGAACTCATTAAATTAATAGATATGCTAGTTTAAATAATTTTTCAAGTGGTGATATTTTCGGAAAAGAAAATAATACAAATACCCACCTACCTATAAACCATTATGGGTTCCAAAAATGCTCCCTTAGGAACATGGGAGTTCACGGATCATTCTAGAATTTGAAGTTAGAACAAAGCAAACGCAAAAAATTCCACGAAGAACAGTGTAAGTGATGTGAAAAATTCCCACCTTTTGAGGTTCTTACACTTGTGGCTGTGCTTCTGCTCCCACGCCAACTCCTTCCTTCTCTGTGGATTCACATTTTGCCCAAACCTTTGTCCTGCATGTGAATTTTTCAGCTATAAATCCCTTTTCCTATTGCTACTTTCATTATATTAATTAAATTATCGATCCCAATGACCTGACAACCAATACTATGAAGCATATAACTAATAAGCAACAGTGCAGCAGGTCAAGCCACATGATCCATAAGCTATAGTCACATTCAATCTTTTCATCGTTCTCTCTTGTTTTTTCCTTTCACCCCAACATCATATAGAATTTGGTAGAAAATTTAGCTGAAAGTTTGATGAGACTTAAGTGGGAAGAAATTTGAAGTCATCAAAATTTTAACCATTTTGTTTCATCAGTTCACTGACAAAACAAAACGCAAGTGAAAATTCCCAAACTTAGTCAAAGAACCCTCAAGGTTGCATCTACTTTTAATCTATCCTTCATTTACAAGTATTTTGTTGTTCTTGAGCCTTAAAACAAAGTTTTATGAAGATGTTGTTGTTGCAGTATAAATCTAGTTTTTATCGTTGTTAAGTTGGTAGCCAACAAGGTCCCTTAAAGCCTGTTTCAATGTTGAGTTACTTGAATTTCAGTAGAGTCGTCTCTAACTCTCTTCAAGCCAAAAATACGATTGTACTCGCTTCTCATCAGTCTTTTGATAGTAATAAATTCTTTCACTTTCAATTGCATGTCAGTCGCTAATAATTAGTGTAATTGTATGATCCTTAAAAATCACAAACTTCCACAAGTATAAGCTCTAATGGTTTTACTTTTGATTTCTCCGTTAAAAATCTATACTAATAAAGATATATTTCTTACTTATAAATCCATGATCATCCTCTATCCCTCTCGACAATCCTCAACAATTATCTCCTCGAACAAAGTATACTCTTTATTCGACATTCGAGGATGCTATTAACATGACTAAGTTAAGGGCATGACTTTGATACCATGTTAGAAGCCATGAACCTCCACAATTGTATGATATCGTCCACTTTGAGGATAAACTCTCGTGGCTTTGTTTTTTATTTCTCCACATGACCTTATACTAATGGAGATATATCTCTTACTTATAAACTTGTGATAATCCTTTAATTAGCTAATATAGTACTCTCTCCCAACGATCCTCATGGCCTGGTGGAACAAGGGAGTCATTTCCATTATTTATGGCTAAAAACGCTGTCAATATTCTAATATTCAATATGTGTGATCAACCTTTCAGTGCGTAAGCTAGTGCGGTCAGTCACTTGGCCCCGTTGACAACTATTAGACAGTTCTATGTTTATGCAGTATGTAGTTAACCATTTTGTATTAGCAGCCCTACGTCGAATGAGTTAATCCATTCTAGTTGAAGACTGTGCTTCAATTTAAATCCATTTTCCACCACGCCACACAGCCAGGCATACTGTCACAGACACCAAATTTCCAAGTATAAAAATTTAACAAGTACAGGGACCTGCTCACCATTTGCTTCCTGAACCACCAATGGCACCAAGTCACAACGTGCAAATCCAGCTGAGAGAAGAAGCTTGAAGCCTGCAAAATAATGGCAACATCTTCGAGCTTCGAGATCCACCAACGGCTTCGCAATTTTGCTTCCAATCGTTTCATTTCTAAGCATTCTACAGCTTCTTAATATGGAGCTCCAGATCTACACGAACAATATTGCCGGTCTGGTTCAACTCGGTGAAGGGTTTTCAACCTTCTTATCCTCCCTTCCGATATTAACTTATCAAATATAATATTTTAACCAATCAATTATGTAAAAAATGAACTTACCAATTACCTTCATATATCTTTGTTATACGGAATATAAATTCATATAATCTGTACACTCAATTTTTTAATTCATAAATTTGAACTTTAAATTCAAATATATGTTCCAAAATTTCTCGAGCGTCCGATGTGAAAATCATCCAACGGTGAGGGCGAGTATTCAAGCTGTTTCTATAAGTGCCTGGCTTACATTCGGCAACATTAACCAACCCCTTTCGATCGGGAAGCCGCTATCTTCATCATAATCGCCTTGCCGTGTTTGAAGTTGAAGAATTAAGAACGCTATGGGGAAGCAACCGGTCCGGATGAAGGCTGTGATCTACGCTTTATCGCCGTTCCAGCAGAAGACCATGTCAGGGTTATGGAACGACTTGACCGGCAAGATTCACCATAAGATCTCCGAGAACTGGATTAGTGCCGCCCTTCTAATTACCCCCGTCGTCGGCACCTACACGTAATTTTTCATCTCCTTGTTCCTTTTCATATTTTTCTTATTTTTGGAATTCCGAATTTAGGGTTTGCTTCTTGTTGATTGGTTTTTTCCCTTCATGGTTCAATCTAATATCAATTTAAAAAAAAAAAAAAAAAACAAGTCTTCAATTGTTTCTCAATAAGCTTGGTAGGTTATTCTTTTCGTAACACCTGGTCGGGTCTAATTTAGATGAGATATCTCTTAATCAGATTCGAAGTGGAAATACACAATTCCACCGACGTGGAATTCTTGTAATCATTTGGTCTTCTCTGGACTTAGCGTGTTCAATATTTCCCTCAAAGCTATCATCATTTTAATATTCATACGAAATTTTCTACTGGAACTGATCGCGAACAGTTGACAAGGTGCATCTTATTGATTGATTGTTTCAGCTATTGGAATGGAATAAAAATCTTTTTTTTTTTTTTTTTGGTGGGTGGTAGGCTAACCCGTGATGATGTTATTGTCCTGAACTGCAAGTGTTCGCTTCTGTTTAGAAAAGGCATTGCCTCACTTGATTGAATTGTTCCCAGGTCATATCAATCAGATTTGCAATTACTCGTCCACCATCTGTGTGTAGTTATAATAACCTTCAATTACTTCGATCTATTTTTAGTTCATGCTATTTTATCATTGAAGAGATAGGTTGGTTCTGTTGTGCACAGGGTGGAACTTTTATTTTTTGCTACATATTAAAGAATTGAGATTAAGAGGTACCTTCCTCACATGCAAGATTGAGAAATTGGATGCGGGCAAGAGGTTTAAAACGGAGTAAAATCAATTTGGATGATAACGGGATGACTAATTTATGTTTTCTATTTTTTACGTGAGAAGTAAGAATGGCATCATTGTGTTTAAGAATGATGAAATGTTGTATTTAAGAATTTTTAGCGCTAGATTGGATGGAACTAAAGTTTCCCTTTTCATCTGAGTTCCGCACCATGCACCAACATGCGAAAGATATTATTTTGTTTTAGCTTTGATTTAAGCTTCGTTTTCAATACATGCATAAGATAAATGACTTGTATTAGTTGATTGATTGGTGGAAAATGGGGTCATGGTGGATGAACATGTGCAAATATATGTTTCACTTGTGAACTTGCTTTTGTTCGATTTAATGTGGACGTCCCTTGCATTGAAGATATCATATCTGGAAATGGATGTAGGTACGCGCAGCAGTTCAAGGAGAATGAAAAGTTATCTCACAGGTACTGAAAGGGGGCCTGATTCCTGCATTTGGCATCTACTTTGAACAACTTTTGAACTTTGGACTTTTTCGTTATGCAAATGGAGCTTTTGTTTCTTAGGCTATGAGGATGTGCTTTTATTTTGAGAAAAATTTTCTCGCTTGTTTGTTGGAATAATTACAACATTTGTTATCATGTGAATGATGGCTGTTATAAAATTATCAGCATTGGGAAGGTCGAAACTGATGCCGTAATGGCGCGACCCCTGAAGTCTTCTCAATACCAACCACCAACCAATCTTGAGACTCCTTATCATTAGGTTCACCTCTTTTCAATATTTTCCTAATTTGTGAACCCACCAAAATATTGAAACTTGAATTAATTTGAACATGTGTACTTTTAACTAGGAGAGGTCATATCACAACAAAATTATATTTACTTATATTAATAAGATACTTTCTTTTTTGGTGGTTTTTTGGTGGTTCAATTGTTAAAACTAAATAGAGTAAGATTCCCCTGAGAATTTTAGACTAGTTTGTGAGTTTGTGAGAAGAGAAGTGGCTGCAAGATCATAATAGGTCATTTTCTTTTTGTTCCGCCCCATCTTCCACTGGGATTTGGTGATCTCATGGGAGGAGGCGTGGAGAGTTGTCCAACACATTGGAGAAATGAGCACGAGGAATGGGTGAGTTTTCATTGAACTTGATTTGAAGATGGTGCGGCTTAGCGTCCAAGATAAGATAAACCAAGCGTGGACTATTTTATGTTAAAAACATGAGTATCTAATGAATCTTGAAAAGTAATTTTGTTCTATCACATCTATGATTGTTGGGTTGCACTTCCAATTCATGGATTGCAAGCAAACTCACGGTTTTCTCCCAACTAATTGTTTTCTGTTGCACTAGATATTATTCCTCCAAAAAGGTGGATGGAACAATTTACCTGATAATAATGAATCTATCAACCAATTAAACTAAATTTAAGGGGAAAATGCAGGTATATATCACACATACACAAGGATAAAAGATTTTCTTTTCCTCTTTGGTAAGATTATAATTTAGGACAAGTACACTTGGATACCAGCCGTTTTGATCAACTGACAGACAGGACAGACACTTGCAAGTCCATTGCAATCTTTGCACAAACATAAATGTCTACAAGGCATGAGTAGGATGGAAACCTCTTTTTCCTTGCATGCTCTGCAGATCATGCGCTCCTTGAAACCTGCTAAATTCCTGGTTGAGGATCTCATAGTTCCACCTGGAACACTAAGGTAATTGTTTGAATCAATGTGTGAAGCAGCATCATCCACTTCACTGTCTCCAAATCCTTCCTTCGCTTGGTCCGCACCCTGTGAGATAACGTGCTGAAGGTTGCTTTTCAGGACGTTTACGACTGATTCATTGTACTTCGCTCTGCACTGCCAATTCTGGGCTTCAGTGCCAACCTGCTTTATTCTCTCCACTAGTTCCCTATTTTTACAGTTCATGTTCTCAATTTCTACATCCTTTTCATGTAGTTTCTTTCCAATGCCTTTCTCGATCGCATTAACAAATGAAGCCATATGTCTTTGCTTCATCTCCCTAATGCCCTTTGCCAAATGTTCTTCCTGTTAGTTAGACAGATAAAAAAACTGTACATCAGATGCAATCGAATCAAACCACATTGATGGGTTTAACATGAGCACCCCGGGAGTGAATGCTATAAAGAGCAATCCAAATTTCATGAACTAAATAGACTTTGACCAGAAACACATCATCATAAATGATTGGTGACAGCCTCTAAACTTAAAAAATGTTACAAAATTTAATCTTCAAACTTTCAAATTTATATCTGATAGAACAATTAATTTTTATAAATTTTAAATTTGTGACACAATATTGAATGTTCAGGAACTTATTAGACACACAAATGAAAGTGGAGGGGCTTATAAGACACTTTTAAAAATTTGGGAGCCAAACAGACAAACCTTAAGAATTCAGGGACTAAACCTGTAATTAACCTAAATTATTTTAGTTTTATTCCGATGCAGCATGCACTCTTGTAAAAAGATCCAGAAGAGGAGAAAGTGAAGTACCTGAATTTTAATATATTGATCCAGTTCTTCCTTTTGTCTATCAATCTCGATCCTGAGATTATCACCAAGAGAAAATATGATAGAAGGTGCAGCTGTCATGCTTCCACTTGCAGTGGTAACAGAGGAGTTGTGCTCATCATCATCATACGATAGCCTTAAACCTGTTGATACAGCATTTGGGTTTATAATGCTTGCTGGACGATCAGCATCATCTTGACAAGCATTATAATCTAAGGAAATCTGAAGCTTCTGCTGTCTTGAGAAATCTTCTATTTCCCTACTTCTTTTGTTAGGGCGAAGCATATGAGCCATTTGCTCGTTTCCAAAATAATTTACAGGCTCAATTCCACAGCTTACGGGCACTACAATATAAATCGTGAATTCTATGAGAGACGAGACAACTAAAGAACAATAGTTCTGATCAATTGTCCACGAACTGATCAGACTTGTATTGCAATTCAAATACTTTTTTTTTTTTTTTTGGTTGCAATAAGTTGAAATCAGATTTCTTGGAAACAGAAAAACAACTAACGATTTCCAAATAACTGCAGCTGACCAGAAGCATTAGTTTGATATTGAGTTCGATTTTCATCTAGGAAAACGGGAAGCATGGCATTGCCATTGTCGCCACCCAACATTTTCTCCAGAACAGAAGTGATGAACTTCAGATGATGTGAAGTTTAAAATACCGATAGTACGGAGGGTTCACTGCCTGAAAAGGGGGCAGCGGTTTTAATAACAAATTTCAGCGATAGAATAAATGATAAGGAAGGAAAAGGACAATAATAATGAAACATTGCGTAGACATTGAAGCGCTTCAATTTCAAATTATTTTAACTCGGGGGATGATGGGGTTAATTGAAAAACAACGGACAAAATAAGAGGATTCAATCAATCAATTTGCAAAAATTCCATAAGTTCACAAACAAACTTGGCATTGTCACAGAAGGTCTTCCATCGAAGTCATCCCGAATATAATATAACAACAGTGGTCTTACAGGCTCAACATATCCTATTAGAACACTGGGTAAAATAATCCATGACTTCACTTAATTCAGTATATGAATCTACAATACTGGGATATCAATGATCTTCCAAAATCCAGCAATCCATAACATTTACTTAGAATTACAATTTATCCAGGTGAAAACGAGATGCGAGAAACTACCCATCATCATGGTTTCCTTAGAAATATCGATAGCAGAAAGTCAAACATAAACATCAAATTCAGTGCAAGCACGAATTTGAGACATGACACTGGAAGGACATCAGAGCAGAAGAAAATCCCAGGAGTTGTATCTAAAACCCACATCCAGATAGTGAGAAGAACATCAACAGGGATAGGCATACAAGCATGGAATGGGAAGATGCATAAAGTTGAGTGTATCTGAAGCGCGTGGTTGTCTAAATCAGAAAAGAAAGGGAGATTGATGAACAAGTTTGACCGGAATTGCATAATGAAGATGAAAAGAAGATTATGTAAGAAAGGAAGGGATGATGTAGCAATCTGAGAAAGAAAAAGGTGGAGATGAGATGATGAGCCAGAAATTTGATTAGGAACAGGAAGAGGCAGGAGTTGAAGAAGGATGCAAACAGAAAGTAAAAGGCACGGATAGAGGTTACCTGAAGAAGAAGTCAAGAGTACGAGATATGATGTCCAGATCCTGGCATATAAGAATCCGCACAGATTTATGGGAATAATTGGGAGGAAGAAAATAGAATACCTTGAAAAGACGAAGAAATAGAAAGAGGGAGGGGGAGGGGGAGGGGGAGGAGGAGGAGGATGGGGAGGGTTTAACCGAGGAGGAAGAAACAGATGAGGAAGAAGAAGAAGAAGAAGATGGAGAATTATAGGAGGAGATATGGAGAGGAGAGAAATTGTAGGGAGGTAGTGCGGTGGGAGTGGAAAATTGATTAGAATGAAATGAATGAATCGGTGGTAGTGGTTACGCAAACCGATTTCCGTTCCTTTTTTTTCCCTTCTTTCTTTATTATTTTCATCTTCTTTCCTTTTTCTCAATTATTTTCACCATATTTTGTCCTCTTCAAATCCATCAACCAAGGATGGATATTGAATGCAACGCCTAACACGTGGGTTCACAAAGGTATTCAAAATATATTCATAACACATTACCAAACCTTCCATAAAACCATCTTTCTTTACGCAATTCAATTACATTTATGTCGCACTCTACTGATTCAGAGGGGGACGAGAAATCCAGCTAAACTTTGGGCCATTGCCCATTTCCAAATGGCCCGCCACGTCAAAGCCCAAGATGAAAATATATGTTTTGAAAATTGATAGAATGGAAAACCCTTTCAGAGCCCTAGAAATTTGAAGGTGAATCTGCAGGTGAGGTAGCGTCCGTAGGACCCGGAGACTAGCGCAGGAACCGACAATGATCATCCCAGTGCGTTGCTTCACTTGCGGAAAGGTCAGCCATCCAGAATCATCTTCAATTTCACCTATCATGTCTTCTACTTACGCTTCTATGTGGAAGTCGCTTCTGAGAATTGTTTTTCTTTTTCTGTTTTCTATGTATCGTCGTATGTACAAATGCTTCGGTTTGTCTCCGCTCTTAAAGCGACATGGTTTATATTTTTTCAGGTGATTGGAAACAAATGGGATCATTACCTTGATCTTCTACAGGCTGACTATTCCGAAGGGTGAGGAAGGACCCCTTTTTTCTTCATTCTTTTTTTCCCGTAATCCTTTGACCTTGCGTTTGAGATGCTAATGTATATTTTTCTTATATTAGGGATGCGCTTGATGCACTGGGTTTGGTTCGTTACTGCTGTAGGCGAATGCTCATGACTCATGTTGACCTTATCGAGAAGCTTCTTAACTACAATAGTAAGCTCTCTCTCTGTCTCCCTCCCTTTCTGAAATCTCATGTTTGAGTTGTTAGATTTCTGAATTCAATCTTACACTAAAATTGCTTTCTGTCTCAGCCCTGGATAAGTCTGATACCAGTTAGGCGGGGGAGAAGTTATATGCTTATTCATGTGCAGCAGTCAGTATTGACCTTTTATGGTGTCTGAGTCAAGTTAAGAGAAAAGAAGAACTTTAGGAAGATTCAGTGCAGGACTACTCGAGTTAAGCTATATCTTGGTGTCCCAGTTTGTTTACTTGTTGATTATACGAACCCAACTATTTAATCTTCAAGTGTTTACTACTTTTAGGAGTTATTTATCAGAACCATGTACTTATCCTTGTCAAAGTTAGTTTTTTAGATATGTGTGGTTACTAGTTACTAGTTAGGTATGCTGGCGTTCGCTTAACTGGCTTTGTGGAATGCTGTCTCTAACTGCATTGTTGCATCTACAAACCTATTAATATAATCGTCAGATGTTTATGTTGCGTCAGTTGTTCTAAATGGTTTTTGGTTTCTCTATGTTGTTTAATGAATGCGACCAGTCATATGACAAAAACCTAAAAGCCTTGGTTCTTTGATCTGTATCATGTTTCTCAGAATCTTTAGAAATGGAAAGAGATTGTTAAAAAACCGATGTAGTCATACAGTATTCTGTCTGATAGTTTCCTTTACCAAGGATGAATTCAATTGGTCTCTAGACTTCACTACCAATGAAGCTAGTTTCTCTTTTCGCTGATCACTTTTTGAAAGCTTCCTAGCCTTCGTCTAGATTGAAGGCATCCCCTTTGTTCCTAACTTCTACCCATTGGAAATGTAATTGTCTGATTTTCGTTTGAATTCTTAAAGTCATGTAGATCTAGACCTGCACATCGAGGTACAACTTGTTTGGTAAGGTGGAGACTGAGGTCGATGAGGACCTTCTCAATCAAATATGGTATTTGAAATCTTCCCAAAAGGTTTGAACTTAAGAAACTTAACAAATTCGTGGTCGGCCAAATACTGCATATAATGCCGTCTTTTCTTCTTCTTCTTTGCTACGAAAAGGGAGGGTTATGTGGCTTGGCACTAGCTGAGTGGCGGTGACACCATTCTGGTCCATGTAGCTTGAGGGCTTTTGGAGTGGTACTGTAACGATCCAGACCCATTGCTAGTAGATATTGTCTTCTTTGGGATTTCCTTTTCGGGCTTCCTTCAAAGCTTTAAACCGCGCTGCGGGAAAGGTTTCCACACCCTTATATGACGGTGGTTTGTTCTCCTCCCTAACCAATGTGGAACAGGTGCCTTCATTGGCAAATCTGTCATGAATGTTGAACAATTTTTGTTTGGTACTCAAGAGGATGGATTTGATTTGATTTAGATTTGATTTGAATTGAATTAATTAGAGAGAAATCAAGAAATTTTATATTGCCGAACTCATCGATACACAGTCACCAAGTTAACAACCACATTGTTTTGTAGGGTTGAACTAACAGTCCAATGACTATAAAAGTTATTTCCTAAACAGATCGAACTTGAAAGCTTTAACAGACCTCTAAATCTTAGAGCCAAAAAGTGTCCCCGAGGATTTGGGTTAATGTTCCCTCACTTCAAAAATTTGGGCTGAAAATGTTAAAATTGGATTGTGTCAATACGAACTCCCTAGCATGATGATTATCCTAAGGAAATCACCCCCAACCTTCAACGGTGCGTTCCATTCCATTTCATGTATATGCTAAATTAGGAGACAACGTGGTGAACGAGTGTACACTAAAAACTCATGCATCGTAAGGTCACAATTCAACCACCAACACCCCCTTTTAAATGAACCATAACAGTACTGCTTTTGCAATCACTACTGTTATTAATGGAGCAGCTACCCTCTCTCTCAATGTGACACTCTGTAAGATAAGGAAGGATGAATACTGAAAAATGAAAACAGTAGATGAGGAATATATATGATTTGTTAGCAGTGATGAGAATTCAAAGATGGGCTTGTTAAGTAATTGAGGCCGAAGGAGTTAGAGAGATTGTTTGTCAAAATCAGTGACTAAAGAGACAAAACAAAAAACAAAGAAGTTGCAACCAATACCCATCCGTCCATCTCTCTTATCTGGTAGGAGACGAGGAGTAGCTTTCGTGTGGATTGCTTGTCCTGTTTTGGCCCTTCACTCAGATATCTGTGGATAACATTTTCTCTCTTCTTAGTCTTCTTTCCCTATAAAAAGAAAAACCCCCGCAAATATCTTCTCCCCTTTGGCGCTTCTGAACCCTTTTGTTCTCTTCGCATTCTGTTACTCTCTGTGTATTGATCATCAAACATTTCCTTCTTTTCGCTGTATATGTACTTCCATATCCTATTGGTTTTGTCCCATTCTGGCTACCTCATTTTTTGAGTGAACGGAGACATTATGCACCCTAACGCCCACCACTTTCTTCCTTGTTTTCACTGCCACCCCCATGCCCATGTCCGGACGGTACTGCCTCTCTCTCTCTCTCTCCCTTTCACAAATGTGCACACTACATTGCATATACATATATATAAATCCTTGCAGTTTAGTGATGTTTAATTTATTGGTATATAACTCTTCAGATCCAACATCTGATAGAGAGATGCTTGCTGCTTCATATGAGCCGAGATGAGTGCGTCAAGGCCCTGGCTCGCCATGCAAACATTCGCCCTCTCATAACACTCACAGGTCCTCACTTTGAATCAAATAACATACCCTTTTGTTATGTATTTTCAGATCACTCTCTCAGCTTCAATCTAAGCTATTGGGTTGTGGTTGCAGTGTGGAAAGAGCTTCAGAAAGAGAACACTGAATTTTTCCGTGCATATTTGCGTACTATTCCTCGCAAGCCATTCCTGGGTATGATCCTTTTTCTGATTGCATATCATTTAGTGATTGCTCTCGACTCTTTTCTCATGCGCACGCGGTACTAAGTGGGTCCATCTCAAATGACTAATACCAAAATAGGAATATATTGTTCTTAAAATGTTTAGACTCAATTTTACGTGATCTTAAATTTGCACCTATTTACAGCCAAATTCAGGAGGAGTGTTCCTACAATAACGAGGAGAAGGCAACGTCACTGGAGATGAGGGATAATATGCAGTCTGTAATATGCTGATTAATTTATTTTCCTTGTTTCTACATATCGAGTGTGAGTCCAGGGGAACTAATAATAGTCTTTAATATTATATCAATTATCCAAGTTTATAATTTGATGGATGCTTTCTTTATAATATAATTTGATTCATTATTCGCTGAGAATTTGTTTTCATCATAACACCAACCACACTACAATGTACCATATTGTTTTGGAATTATCAGGTACCAAAATGCTCGACCATTCAGTGCTCACACTCGTACATAATCTCCAGGAAAAAACTGAAGGAAGAGGCTTTAAAATCCCAAACCTGTTTTACAGGCTTCAACATAAAACTCTTACACAACTGCATAACATATCCAACAATAATAGCAGATACTATTCGAACAGCCGCAACCTCAATCATGGTAACACAGCTAGTAAATGTCTTTAATTCCATACGGAGCTTTGTCCTAGCCTCCACAATAGAATTATATTATTCACACAGACTCTCATGTTTTTTTTGTTTTCTAGGAGGTCTCTGAGATAGTACTCACTATCTATAAATTCATGAATGATCTTCGATACATCAATGTTTGTGGCGGCCTTCCGTACTATTTGGCATGGTATATTTATATTGAACCTTCTTGAGTCTTCAAGAAAATAAACCATCCACATTTCTCCACACCCACTTACCGACACACGCCCGCCGACTGTCTCGCCAAGGCTGCGGATTTTTTTGCTTGAGTTGTTTTTATACGATTTGGATTCTTTTATAAAAAAAAGAAAATTGTTTTATTTATATAATTTATGGCGTACACGTGGCAGCGCAGAAGTGTCCAGAACATTTCCTAAAAAAAGAAAAGATTTGATTGACCCTCCACAGAATCTTCTCCTTCCGCGGGGGATTACGCGGCGCGTAAGAGAAGGAACAAGGAACGGCCCGTCTTGCATTCCCACCTCCGGACACATTTTCTCTGTTTAAACCATATTCACTCTCCTTGCTTTCAAACCATCGGAGGAAGCAAAGCATCTTCCTTTTCTGAAGTTTCAGTTGCAGACCGCAATTAAGTAAGCTTCCAATTACGCGCTCTTTTTCTTGCTTTTCTTTTACATGTTGATCGCCTCTCTTTCGATTCGACCAATCTAATTTTAGGAATTTCAGAATTTCCCCCTTTTCCCCATATCGCTGCACCTCTCATCTATCATTCATTCTTCTTCACATCCTCTGAATTTTCTTTTTTCTTTCTGTTTGGACCGTTCATTTTACAGTTCCCTTCAAGTTTAGTTTAGATAGCTACCATCATTGTAACGAAAATTCACGATTGACTCGTCATGAGTTTCTTAGCAGGATTATCAGACCATTACTGGACGCCTGTCATGACTACTGAAACTAATACTTTAAGTTATTGGTTGAACTGGAGATTCTTTCTGTGTGCTTTGTTTCTATCAACCTTTATGCTTGTGGCAGCCCTATTAATATGGAAATATGAAGGTTCCAAAAGACGCAAACCTGGATCAACAGACCACTCACAAGATTCAGTTGGGTCATTGTATGAGGATGAACTTTGGCAGCCTTGTCTCAAACCAATTCATCCTGCTTGGCTGCTAGCTTACAGAACGCTTGCTTTTTCTGTGCTTTTCGCATTGATATTAAGCGAAACTATTGTTAAAGGAGGCCGCATTTTTTTGTTTTATACTCAGTAAGTCATGTTTCTCAAGCTTGGTAATGCAAGGCTTTTGATGGTTTAATTTCTGGTTCAAATCTAGAAACACTTACATTGTGGGGTTTTGGATCAGTGGCCGACTGTTCAATAGTAACCTGTTTGTTGTAGTCCATTTGATCGCAAGTCCTTGCATCATTGCATCTGATATTTTCTAGTTCTTCTTAGATATCTAGTGTTAAAAACTATAAATATTTCCTGATCAGGTCACGTACCCTTTATTTCACTCTTGCCTTATATAAGTTCGTGCAAGATGGGGGTAAAACACTTTCTCATCTTACATCAATATATTTTAGAAGATGGTATCTTTCTGAGATGTCTCCTACATTGCCAGAGAGGTTGCAAAATTATGTAGTTGACTCTGCATGATAACCAACTTACTTGTCTCAGCTCATATTTAACAAATTAAACATCTTTAGAAAATTGAAGTTAAACCTCAGATTAACATATTTATTTCGTGCAGGTGGACATTCACATTGGTCACGCTCTACTTTGGGGTATGCTTTATAACTTCAAAACCCACATCTACATGTTTGCTTGATAACCTGGTTGTTATACTTAGCTGACATTTGGTAGACACAAAGCAGGATGGTGTATATAAATATGTTATGTGCATTGGACTTGGAAAGTAGTCATGAAAATTTGTCCGCTTTTGGTGTCCTAAAAGAAAAATTGTGATCCAACGTTTGATATATGTTGC